CAAATTAAAAGAAAAATTTTTGACTTGTTTTTATAGTCCTTTTCTTTTTAGATTATCTAAATTTATATGATTTATCTGTTTATTAGTTTACATCAGTTATTTCACTTGTTCACCTATACCTTCAAAACAAATATGCACGGAATTTCATCAGTCTCTGATTCTTTACTTCTCTGAAATCTCACTGTCCTTTTTATTTATTTGTGTTTCATACTAAAAGTTGTGTTTCAACTAAAAGTCTCTGAGGATAGTAATTCCTTAATATCTACTCAGCTGCTTAGAAAATTCTAAGTGAACATCCATTGATACATATAAACATTAATTTTTAGAATTTTTATTTGAACCAGAAAAGGTAGAGAAGGAACTCAAAGAAATTTAAATAAATTGAGCAAAGATTCCGATATAGAAAGTTATGAGTTGTGGGTTTGTAGCATCTATGAATCTACTTGTGCTAGACTGAAAGAATTGGAAAGAGACTCCTGGAAGAACTATTATCATCGTGGCTGTAGTGTAAATCTGCTCAGGGAGTTGTTACACCTCTCTCCTTTTGGTAACCATCCCCGGCTTTTCCTGTATTGGCCTGCACTGTCCCTATGAATTTTGATGGGTGTCTTTACCTTGTGTAGAAGTACACCAAGTTTTCTGGGCTTGGTAAAAGAAATTAATCTCTGCCCAGTCACAGAAAGGAGTATTTGACCAAAGCAAGATAATTACGCCTATTGATTTTTAATTAGTTAATAAAGTGATTTTCTTTGGAGATACCATGCTTATATAACATGTATATCTAGAGTTGCTGATAAATATCCTGTTCTACATGTGAAGACAGCTTTCCTAATCATAGAGCAAAGGAAGCCTGAGAAATGAAGAAAGTGAAGGAAGAAAAAAAAAAGTCTGGAAGGGCTTTCAATACTTTAATGCCTTTAAATTTTCACTAAACAAAATAAATCGTTCGCTTTTTCAGAGTTTACTTGTTTTACTTAATTGGGCTTGAGTTGAGCTCCTGTCTGTTGCACTATAAAGAATATGATGATGTTGAAAGGCAGTTTATATTTTGAGTGAAATGGAAGCCCCTGAGCATTTGGAGAAATGTGGTAATGTGCTGCTGCTAATTTCATTTTGCTGCTGTTGTCACTGTGCAGGTCAGATATCCCCCTCATCTGTGTTAAGTGTCACAGCAATAATTTCACAAGTAACTTCCCTAGTTTTGTTTTTCCCCCTCCTTCCCAATTCTATTACTCAAACTGTGAGAGACAAACTTCAAAACAGCAAATGTGATCACACTCATTCTTGCTTAAATCCTTCCAATGACCCTGCCTGAAGAAGGGTCTGGTCCACACTTTATTGGCTATCGTAAAAGTCCTCTCCTTAGCTGATCCTTCTTACTTGCAAGATAATTTCTTGCCACAACTATATGTGGATTTTCAGACTTCAACTAAAATGAGATATTTGTCCTAAGAACATATTTTGCTTCTTAAGCGACCTCATGCCTTTATATGTGTTACTCCTCTTCTGAAAATGTCCTGCCTTAGACATTCATTCTGATTGTGCATGAAGACACCATATGGGCTAGCTGTGGTCTCATCTCATCTCAGTGATACTGGACCCTGAGTGGAAAGGGATTGTGTCTCATAGTTTTTTGGATCTTTTAGTAATGCAATAATAAGCACACATAGACACTCAAAAATATTGATAAGAACTCATTTACTAAATTACATGCTCATAGAAATGTATCCAATTTTGTTTGTAAATATAAACTTCTGGGATTTAAAAATTGATATGATGGAATGGAATGTAACTAACTGTTACCAGAACATATACACATAAAGCATTCCTGACTTAAGGTATCTAAAATAAAATACAAAGGTGTTTTTAGGATTGATAACTACTTCTCTAAGTCTTAAAATTTAAATCACTATCCCAAAGGACTTTTGCAATCCATGAGGAAGAATTATCACCAAGATACATGTAATAAAACTCTGGGAAATGACCACAAGTGAAATCTAAGTTTTATTATTGTAATAAAGTATTATTGGTCCTTAAATAAAGTGGCTTTGAAAGTATGGAGTCATTTTTTATGAACATATTTAGAATGCCTATATGCCCATTCTAAATATTATCTTTAAAAGTATGGCACAAGTCCTATAATTAGAGCTTTAATGCATTCTAAATAATGTATGCATTTTTATGAAAGCATCTTTAAAGACCACCTGAGAAAATTCTTATGCCTTTATGTTCAATTGATGGTTAAATTTAGCTAGTCTGTAACACAATGTTTGTGAAATTGATATTTATTTTTATTCCATCCATTCATCCATCCACCCATCCATTTAGAGAATATCACAATGAGTAAGGCACAGTTCTAGATGCCTGGCATATAGCACTAAATAAGATGGACAGTTAAGTCTCTGATTTTGTGATGCTTACCTGATGAACAAAGGAAGTAAACCATCAGCAAATGTTAAGTTAAGGAAAGTGGACCAGGAGAATATCTTAAGTACAGGAATCAGGGAAGACTTTTTCAAAGGTCGCATCAGAGCAGAAACCTACATGACTGAGGGAACGAGTCCTGAAGCTATCAGGAAGAGAGAAAGAGAGGCCTGGGAATGTTAAGTGCAATATTTCCAGGTCAAGAGAATAGTATCTTATAAACAGGTTAAGGGAAACAAAGGTTTGGAAAGAGACTGAAGCTGCATTTATGGGAGGTACAAAACAGGTCAACTCAGAGAAAGGCAAAATTGCCTGGCTAAGAGAAGTTTTGCAGTAGATTTTTTTTTTTCAGTAGAATTTTTGTAGGTGACGTAGGTAAGTAGGAATGGTGGTTTGGATAGTCCAAGAAAAAAACAATAATCTTTAGAATTATCACTGGACAGAAGTGAGCATTCTCTTTGGAACAAAACAAAACAAAACAGAAAATAGGAAGACATGAAAGCTAAATGAAGATAAGTGGAAATGAGGAGAATTTTATGTTTCTTGTAGCAAATATAAGCTCAAAAAGGATTTTCAGAAACAATTTGATTTGGTTAGAGTTTAATTAAAAAATACAGGAATTTGGCCAAGCAGTGTAGATTGTATGGGATGGAAGGATGGTTTCCAGATAGACTATTTGGAGACCCTGTGGATTATGCCAAACAGTACTAAACACTACTGGGCATAGTGACTTTAGAACCACACTCTGCTCTGTTCATGTTAGTAATACTTATATCTTTGTCTTGGTTATAGTAAAGCACTTCTAGGAAGCTGTACAGATAGTTTACCTGATAATACCACACATCCCAGAGTATTTGGTCTTATCTTTTATTTCCCTCAAAGTAGAAATATGTGCTATCATTGTCCCTATAAACTTTTTCTCAGTATATTATTTATATTTCATGCATTTTAAATAAAACATAATTTATGGTGACTATTATAGTAAAATTTCATCTAAGCATAACATTTTATTAATAATTTTCTTCCTAGGCCCCTAGGAAAAGGAAAAAAAATGTGCTAATATTCGGCTATGAGTCTTTGGGGTTTTCCATAGAATAAGTAATACTCTTGCTTTTCCTTTAGGAGAACATATTATTTAATTTTTGAAACACATAATGACTAGGAGAAAAATCTTCCCACTTAATGACTTTCTGGACTGAAACCTTGTAGAGTGTGTACATGACTGTACTGAGGTGTGGAAACAGAATGTAACATTTACACTCAAGTCTAGTTTTCTTATCCAAAATGTTTATTTTCTTCTCTAGTAAGAAAATTTTAGTAGCAATTAAACCAAGTTATGTATCCTGAAGCAATTTTTTTCCACTCTCACCCAAAATACTGATTTTGATTCCAAGGTTCTTTTGCACCAGTATTTTCAGAAAGAGCTAATATTTTTGTGTATATTATATTGACGTCTCCTTAAAAGTCTACAGATGAGCAGATGTGTTTGGACAAATTTCACAGTTTTTGTTTGCTTGCAACTTTACAGAGAGTTCCAGTGTACACTGCAAACAGCACTTGTGAGAGACAATAAAGGAATACAGTTAATGTCCCAGCCTTGAAGTCATATGATTTGCAATGTGAACTGTATCCAATTCCTTAAATTCTGTTGATAACTTCATTGCCAATTTGTGGGTTTATTATTTTCTATCTCATCATCCATGTTTAATATGCTCTATTCTGAAATGCTCCATTCAGATACTGTATTCTGAAATTTGTTAGTAAAACACTGATAATACATGGGAAGAGAAGCCAGAAGCATCTAAGAAATCACTATTTACTAATGGCTTAAAGGTTACGGCACTAAGTATTGCAACCAAATACTTTGATCAATTTTTAACACTAAACCCAAATATCCCTACATATATTGCTATTTAAATCACGAGAGAAAACATACCACATAGATACTAAAAGTAGAACTGCTGAAATATTACTTAACCCTGTGTCAAGAGCTTCATATGCGTTATTTTGTATAATCCCCCAATAATGCTACAAGAGAGATATTATTATCTCCACTTTGCAGAGATGGAATTTGAGGTTTAAAAAGATTAAGTCACATCTACTAGGCAATAACAAATTAAGTGCTTATCTAGGATTCAAAATCAGACAATCTGATTGCAGTACCAGCTTTTACCTGCATACCAACAAAGGAAGAAGAGTAGGAAAATAAGCACTTTTTTTTGTTATTTAATTGCTTTTGAGTTCAAATGATATGGGATAAATTTTATTTCCTTGAGGGGTTTGATGGGGAAAGTGAAACTGGAAATTTGGTTCATTTGTAAGCATCTACCGATTTTGATAAATGCTGTTTATACGAAAATTCTATTTTAAAAATCTTGAGCTTTTGTAATTCTAATTCATAAAAAATGAAGTGTCCAACTGAAAAAGTTTTGCCATTAAAAGGATAATGAAAAAATAGATCCTATTTAAAATTAACTTTATGTTATAAATACCAGGTATCTTAGTTACTTTTTACTCATTTTTCAGACAAAATACCTCTGACATCCTACCTGAAAGGAGGAAAGGTTTATTCTTACCCTTTTGGAGGTTTCAATCTATACTCAGTTGGCTCTAAGGCAGCGTGGTGTGGCAGGGCAGCCATTCGCGGCTACTACAAACAGCAAGGCAAGAACCAGCAAAAGAGAGACACACCTTCTTCCCATCTTTATATCCTGGCTCCACCCCTGGGCGGGTGAAACACTCACACCACCAATCCAAGCGCTAGACAGCTAGCCGATCACAAACGCTAGATTTGGTCACATCCATAATTCCATGAGACTTGGGAGCCACTGTCATAAACCCTGACACCAGGCTTGGGAAATGATCAATGTGCAGTCAGTACCTTTACAGTGCTAGTATTAACCTCAGTACACACAGTTGGGAAAGCAATGTCCACAGATTTATACAAGACAGTGTACAAAACATTATATTCTGGGAATTACAGTGAGCAGGGTTACCTACCCTATTTCTTTAACAAAGCTTTAATTTTGTGGTTAATATAATTCTATTTTATGTCAAACTACCTGAATTGTGTAGTATGAAAGTTAAAGGTTTCATCTAAGTACATTTATTGATATGAGAGTAGGGAGGATATTTTTTCCATAAGAAATTTCAGGTAAGTTTCAAAAGCCTTAGGCTGTTACATTAAACAAACTAGGTTAAATATTGTCAACTATTCCATAGGTAATTTAGAATAAAATTTTACTTTCCTAGAGGCATTATCAAAATCTACTGGATTTGAGCATCTTGTGACTGGGCCTGCCTGTAAAATCAGAAGGCTGAGGCAAGAAGATCTCATTAGGCAGCTAATCTGGGTTACATAATGAGATTCTGTTTCGCCCCTCTCCCAAATACTAGATATTAACTGATGCTTATTTTTCTTCTCTTTTTTATATAACAAGATAGACGGAATTCCAAAATTATGTCAGGAAAACGTAGTATTGAATTCCTTCAAAGTGAAAGGATTATGTCATATTTCAGATTTTTTTAAAACTCAGATCTGCTTAGGTTTCTCATGTACTGTTATTAGTGGGGCAACTGCATTATCACCTTAGTTCTAGAAAGTAAAGCACACATGAGACTGAGATATGAAACCTTATTAAAAATACCTTTATCTAGTTCCTTTGTCAACGATTCTTTACAGTGTTTTTCCTAGTGGTGGGGTTTTCTTTTTTGGTTATGATTGTTACAAGTTTCAGTTAATTTAACAGTCGTGTTGGCAGGTCCCTGCTGGAACCCACGTTTTAAAAATCCACAGAGGCCCGTAGGAGTTGGGTAGGTGTAAACAAGGAGCTGCAGCGAGTCAAGCCCATCACAAACTCAGTAAAGCTCAGCTATGAGGATTTTTAAAATCACCTCTCTGGCTGCAGCCGAGGCGGGCGCGGCCTGAGGGGAGAGGCCAGTGAACTGCAGGGGACACCAAACGGGGCTCGGGTCAAAGCCTCAGTTCAGGACCCCGTGCCTAGAGCCCAGGGAATCCGGAGTTTAATAGCAAGCGATCTGCCAAGAACGGGAAGGGGGCTAAGAGGCTGGGGCAAGGCCATCGCCTCCAACTCTGCGCTCCGTGTCCTCCAGAGAGAAACGCACAGAAGGGGCCCCAGAGACGCCGAGACCGAGGTGCCACTCAGCGGCCACCAGCTCCTCGAGCGCTGGAGAACGTCACGCGTGACGCCCGCGGCCCTTCGCCCTCCAGAGGCGCAGCCACTGCGGACAGAGGAGGAGCAGCGCCGGGAGGGGAGGGAGCGAGAGGCGGGGAGGCCCGGAGGGAGGGGAGGCCGGGAGGCGGGGAGGCCGGGAGGCGGGGAGGCCGGGTGCGGGGAGGCCGGGAGCGGGGAGGGCGGGCCCGGTGCGGCGCCGCCACCTCCGACCCCGGCCGGATTCCACCCGCCGCCCGCGCGCGGCCCCCCGACCGCGGAGGGGGTGCAGTGCCGTCGCCGACCTGGGAGGGGCAGGCCAGGGCAGGGGTTGGCGTGCTCGGGCCGGACGGGGCTGGAGGATGGGTCTAGCTTGGTCCGGACTCGGGCTCCCGACCGCGCAGCGGCCGGAGGAGGGAGAGGGGCCCGGAGGGTGCCGAGGGTGCGCGCGTGTGTACGCGGGGTGCGCGCGTCTACAGGTAGCAGCTGCGCGGGGACCGAGTGGGGATGCTTTGCGCCTCGTCCCCGCCTGTGATTTTCGGTGGCGATTGCTCACTTAGCCAACGGATCTGTAGCTCCGGGAGATCGTCTCACCCTCTCCATTTCCACGCTGTTTTAGGCGTCTTCCAATTTCAAGTGTGTGTTTGGGGTATTTTTTTTTCTTTCTAATTTTTTTGTCTTCTCCCACTAAATCTTCTTGGGAATACTGCATATGGAAGCAGGTGGCTCTTGGTACGAAATATTCGGATACATTCTATCTGCCAAGTTTTGCTCTTCCCTGTCCCCTCCCAATTTCAGAAGCATCTGTGGTGCTTTTCTTTTGGATTTACATGCAGAAAACGTATGTGTGTTTATATACCGACCGGATAATACATAAATACGTAAATATATACGCGTACCCCAGCGCCTGGGTTTCGTCTCCTTCTCGACGAGAGAAATGTTTGGAGCCCATGGATAACCAGCCCAGTATTAACGTTCTTTTGAGGCTGTTTGCGAAAAAGGGAGGGGAGCGAGAAGGATTGTTTAACATTCGGCCGCCGTCTGGCTGCACTCTAAGCACCACGAAGTATTTATGGTTGCAGATCGGGTGCACGCGGGGCTTAGAGAGAAAGGTAAGGGAGCTGCTGCGCACCCCGTCCCGACGCTTACCTTCGTCCCAGGGATACCGAGAGCTTCCCTCCCACTCCCGCCCCACCTCGCCTTCCCCACCTTCCAGCACCCTCGGCCCACCGCCTTCCGCCGCCGTCCGCTTAACCTTTGTCCAGTGCCTCTGGGCCAAGGGTGGTGGTGGCGGTGACAACACGCAGAGGTGAAATATTCTGTGAGAATTTAAATGCGTCGTCTCAGTTTTCCCCAGATGAGCAACTGAGTCTTCCGTTTTTCAATCCCAACCCCCCCCTTTTCATAACAGTTTTAAGAAACATTTTGTCAAAAATAAGTAAATGAACCGCCGCATAAATAACTGCTTTACCCATCTACTAGTGCCAGCTCCTCAGTGGTACCCGCTGAAAACAAACAATAAAAGCAATTTTAAAAAATGAACTTTAATGAGCTGGGTGGTTTTTTTCAGTACGGAGGTTCATGGAACCTCCAAACGGTTCTTTCCATTATAAAAATAATAAAAATAAAACTGGAAAAAAAACCAATGCCACGGGAAGAGACCATAGGGAAGGGAATTTAGCTTCCATTTCGGTATAAAGCAGTTTATTTGGCTTGGAGGGTCATTCGCTAGAGTTGAGAGCGATGAAGCTAAGTAAGTCTAGCGTAGCAGAACCTACAGCGCTTAATTCTTGCTGAAATCCATCCCTTCACATCACGACCGGCCCTCGCGTAACTCCGCGTCCGCGGGCACAGTTTCTGACCTGATGTCTTCAGGGAGAGGTGGGCTTTTCCTCTCGGGTTCCTCCCTCCACCCAAGCTCCTGCCCTTCCCGCTGGCCTGCTCCAGCCTGGCAGTTTGTAAACTGCCCGTCTTGCCGCCCCTCCTGGTAGGCGTTCTCAGGCTCTCCGCTCCTGCCCCCTCCGTCCTTCCTTCATTGGCGCTCGCGGAGCAGATGCATCTTTTTTCCCTGGACTCCCTCTCTCGCCCCCTCCCCTCCCCGCGCGCCCCGCGGCTCCCCACCTGCCCCGCTTCCCCGGCTGCTGCCCACACTCAGTTCCTCGTCCCAGCCGAGAGCCGGCGGGGGGCGCCGAGTCCGCGTGCCCAGGACCCCGGCGCGGAGCGGAGGGCGCGCGCGGCCGCCGCCGCAGGAGCCGAGCCGGTGCCAGGAGACCCGGCTGGAAAGGCAAGCGGGAGCGGGGAGCCCGAGGCCGGAGCCCGTCGGAGCCGGGAGAGCCGGAGACCGCGGTGAGGCGAGGCGTGCGCAGCGCGGGCCGCCCCCGCCGGCGGAGGGTGCAGTGGTCTCCAGAGCCTCAGCGCGGCGCCCTGTCTCCGCAGCTGCTCGCCCCGGAGCGGTGCTGGGGACCAGGCGCCGGCAGCCGGGAGGTCCTTCGAGAGCTGCCAAGGCGGAAGAGCCGAGTAGGGCGGGCGGGGAGGGCTTCCCGGGCCAGCGCCGAGGCCGAGCCGATGGAGGAACAATGCCGCCTCCGGAAGCAGACCCTCGCCTGAGCCCGCGGCGGAGCGCGGAGCGGCGGCCGGCCTCCTGCTCGCTCCCCGGGCCCTCTGGCTCCGGCTCCGGCTCCGGCTCCGGTGGGTTCCGCCTCGTAGTTGGACAGATATAAGAAAGTTGTTCGTCTTCCCCACCACGTTTTCTGTGAGGAGGTTTTCAGACTCGAGTGGTTCCAGTCAAGATGTCACTTTTTAGATCCCCCGCGATGAGCAACTAATACATTATGCAGCATTGAGCAATAAACTCTCCCGGGAAGACAAGGTAGTCAAACACTTACACCGCTCTCCACTGGCTCCTTCCTGCTCAGCACAATGCCTTGTGAGTACGAATGGAAAACCACCTGCCATGAATTTAAAATTGTTGAGGCTGAGATTTTTTTTGAGTTGGGAATAATTTATTCCAGAGGAGGTTGTTAATAGGGTAGAAATTATGTGTCCAACGTTCGATTCGCTAGTGGTTATTGTAATGAACCGCTGGCCTCTACAAAGGTATTATTTCTTTTTCTGTGTGCAAGGCCATAGGAATACATGTAGAACCGGACAAATGTGAATTTAGATACCTAACCCTGTATCCATCACTCTGCATTTTTATAGATAATTAATATAGTCATTGCCCTTTCTTCATACTAAAACTACTGTTGGCTATAATTGCTTCGAGTTCTAATCCTGTATATGTAGTTATCATCTTCATACATTTCTCAACAATTAACTGTGCTACATTATTAATTGCATAGATATAAATGCCACTAAGAAAAGGTAATGCAGCTACCTCTGAATATAAAACCTGTAAAATGTCTCAGCATTATCATCAGCCATTGTAACCCAGCAGAACACCGGCTTTTTGAAAATGAGTTCAGAAGCAAGGGCTAAGTATGTGTTTAAAATGTTAAATGTAAAAGTACAAAGCTTTAAGTTTATTGTGCCCTTGGCAGAGAATGAATCTAAGTCTACCCGGAATTGCTGGTGATTGAATGATTCACCGTGAGAGTGGAAGTTAATCATTACTCAGCCCTTCTGATTACATGGTTTGATTAAAAGAAGTAACTGTTTTCTGTAAGCCTGCTATTCTGTGGTTAGTCTTTCCAATCCTCTTAGCAGAAGCAGAAAGCCAGGGAGTCAGTCTCTCAGCAGACTGTACGGAGATGCAGGAGCCTGGATAAGAAAAGCTTACTGAGCGCTCCTTCTCCATGTGTCCTCCCCACTCACCTCAGTCCATTCTGTCAATCTTTATTTCCTCTGTGGAGATTTATTTTGCAAAGTTTTCCGGTTATACCTAGTTAGCATATCAAATAGATATGTGTGAAGAATTGTTTTGAAGCTGAGATGGACTCTCACAGAGGGGTGGCTGTGAGAAAATTTCATGCTGTGCCCCATTTGTAAGTTGCTGGAGGCCCAGTTGTCTCCTCTTGGCTGGGTGACTCCCCAGCATCACTCTCTAAAGTCTCTTTTAACTCTTAATGTTGCTTATTTATTCCACTTTTACAACTTGCACATGGTTATCCATTGGCAACTTTTGCACCTTTCCATCAACTTTCCTTAAATTAGCTGTTTAGACCATTTTAAAAAATAAGATAATTAAGTAGCCTAATCTAGCGCATATAAACACAAACCTAAGGTCTTTATTTTTTTTTAAAGTTTAAACATAAATGTTAATATTATTGACAACTTTTTATGGGAAAATAGCCATATAGAGGAAGATATGATTGAAACATACAATTCTGTGGATTTTCCTGTATTGAAAAATAATTTTTTAAAGTTTTTAATAAATCATTGCAGTGGTCTGTCTCTAGAAGTTTTTAAAAAATTTACATTGATAGTTCCAAAATTACCCAGAAAATGTTAACTTGTAGATTTATGAACAAAACATAAAGTTAAAATTTAGAAACTTCAACAGTTTGGCAATATACTTTTCCATGTTTTAAGAAGTTTTCAAGTGAAGCTTGAAGCTTGTTTCCATCTGATTAAATGACAAGTTAGTATATGTCATTCCTCCATTTTATTGTAATCATTTATTAATGTGACCACTCAAGTCCAACACACTGCACTTATTTTTCTGAAATATGAATCATTTTGTGAATCTGTTTAATAATGGTCAATAGTTCTTTATAGGTTACCTGCCAACATCTGGTCCTTATGACATTTAACTGGTGTCACAATATTTAGATGAAAAGACTCTGACATGCTTCCTCAATTTACTTGTTAATTGATACACAAAACTCTTACTGTCTACCCAAACAGTACCTATTGTTTCAGGGTTCTGTGTTTTGCTTATATCACTTTTCATCTTGCATCTAGCATTAGCAGGTCCTCCAGCTACAGGACAGCAAAGCATTTTTCCTTTATCCTTACTCTGAGTTCTCACCACATTAACTCATACCAAAAGTAACTCACCTATTATAGTCTCACTGGTTGTCTTCCCTAATGGATAGTGAATTGCCAGAGATCAGAAACCATACCCGACTTATTATTTTATTCAGCACAGTTGTCCCCACTTATGAATATAAAGTAGACTGTAAATCAATAATATATGTATTATTTACAAATATTTTGCCTACTGAGTAATGGATAGGCTATCAGTGAATTAAGCAAGTGAAAGTTTACCTAGTTTAATATAAGTGATCCAGAGAAGACAAATATTTAAGCATTTAATTAGGGAATCAGATTTCCTCTATCATCTTGGTACTTGGTTCATATGGTCTCAAGATCATTGCCACACCTCCAAATTCATGTGTGCCTTTGAATTCTAAAGAAAAGGGTGGATACAAAGATAACAAAGAGCCCTCTAGCTCAGTATTTCTCAGCTTTGACACTGTTGTTATTTTGGGTGGGATATGTCTTCGTGTGTGCATGTGGGGAGGTTCCTGTACTTTGTACCATGTTTAGCAGTAAGTAATCCTGACCTGTACCTACTACATTCCAGCAAAACATCCCATCACTCACCTCATCCAGACAAGCAAAAGTATATGCAGGCACTGCCAAATATCCCTGAGAGGTAAAATCACCCCAGGATGAGAATTTTCCTGGTTTCTACTCCTTCTTTTTCTTTGTATGGCAGAAGTAGTGAAGATCTATTTGGTTTTTACTTACTAAAGAGTAAAGCACTCTTTCTGAGATTTTTAAAAAGGAAGAGGGATTAAGCAACCAAACAAGTCTACTCTTTGAGAATTGTGACTTGCTTTCCCATATAGACGTTCTCCCAGTGGACCTCTAGTCTCCAGTCGCCTCCAGAACTCGGTCAGGTGGCCGGCCTTCCTTAGGTACCCGAGAGGAAGGGAGATATGTGTTTTAGTATCTCCCCTGAACAAAACTGGGATTTGTGAAATGAAAATTGGAAATGGATTTGAGGTTGAAAACTAGTAGGTGTTTTCACTAATATATAATATATTATAATATATTAATATGTAAAACTATCTACACACTCAGAAATGAGGAAAAGTAAAGAAAAGGTAAGCAGTCATAAAAGAAGGAAAACATAATTTTTAAATATGGTACATATTGGTGAAAT